CAAAGCTAGAATACTACTATGAAAGTAGGTAAAGGTAACTCACGAGCCTTTATTCTCGTAAATTATAGAATAACAAATTATTTAATAGAGTTTCAAAGTTTGAATGGTATTTCACCCATTCAAACTTTGAAACGGTTGTATGATGTGTATAGTATACTTTGTAAGGAACGTTCATGACAGGCAATATATTTATAGATTGGCTGTTGTATAAAAGAGTTACTGCTTATTTTAAATTCCATAAAATTATTTAAAAAAATCTTTGGCAGGGCGGATTGATACCGAAGTTTGGAGACCCCGCCTTTACATTAAAATTAGTCTGTATTGCTATATATACATATATATATTTCATTTTAATTACACAACATTTGCCCTTGGAGATATTCTACTCTTTCCATCACGTAACCCCCTCCTCCGAAGAATGGGATCAAATATCAGCATTGCGTGTTTTGAAGAAAATTTCATTTTTGAGAGAAAATTTATTATAAGAATTAAACCTGCATTTTAAAATTAGCACAAAATAAAATTTCTTAGCAGTAACATTTTTTAACTACAAACAGTAGAAAATAATGCGATCAATATATTTACTATTAATAAAGTTAAACTTGACAGTTTTGTGAATCGCTTATTATTCTTATGTGCTATGATAATTCTGTCAAAAGGTATGGATTTAAATTCTGTCAAATTTCAAATTTTTGTGCCGCAAATTTTGGTATAAATCTAGTTCAAGGATTTAATACCGTTAAGGATCAAGTATTTTCAATTCTTCGTACTATGCGCAATGTTTTTTTTTTTATCTACCGAGTAAAATTTTTAACCGAAATGGCAGCATCCATTTATTCTGTATCCTCGTATATATGAAATTGCGATTTCCATTTAGAGAGAGATGGTTATTGAAGTCGCAGAAAGCCAAGTTGTATTTCCAAGTAGGACATTAGTCTTAAAACAAGCTTTTATGAGAAATAATTTTCTCTTTTTTAGAATGAATAAGTTCACAAATTAAGATTTTTAATTTTAGTAAAATTATAGGTTTTTTTAGGCCCAAATGGGCGTTAGATCAGAAGGGCTATTAGTTTCAAAACGGCAGTTCGAGTCGAATCACTTTAAATGTCCGAATCACTTTTCGCATTGTTGCCACCAAATATTATCACCCTGTATTATATTTAAAGAAACTAAATAACGAAGAATCTACATGAATGTATGCATATTTCTCGCATTGTGAAAAAAAATCATTACCTAGAGTCATCGAATTCTGAATAACATAGACGCCTGGAACTCCGAATTCGGAATATGGAATTTTTTTTATTGTCTATTTCATATTTTGTAGAACTTTAAGGAATTTTTGATTAAAAACAACTCAATGGTTTCAAAGTGAGCAGTAGCAACACTGTTGGGAATAAACCATTTTTATCTCCAGAAGCCATTAATCTCGAAACGGCATTTTGCGTCGGTTCACTCCAAATATCCGTTTCACTTTTCAAATTGTTGCCACCCAAAATTATCGTCCTGTATTATATTTAAAGAAATTAAATAATGAAAAATCTGCATGAATGTATGTATGTTTCTCACATTGTGAAGAAAAAGCAGCGGTACCTAGAGCCACGAAATTTTGAATAACGTTATTCTCCATCCGAAGATGCGCACCTGGAAGTTCGAATTTTGAATTTCGAATTTGTTTTATTGTCTATTTCATATTCTGTAAAACTTTCATGAATTTCATATTTTAAAAACTGAACGGTTTCCAAGCGAGCAATGGCAACACTGTAATTTTCATCTCCAGCGCGCGAGACTGTGTGTCGGAAATTCTAAAGACATGCTGTTATTAACATTTTAAAAAGCGGTGTTAGCGCAAATACTCTCGAAATGTGTATGTGTGTGTAAATGAGGGAAAACAAAATACTTTGGTCGTAATATAAAGTCTAGAAGTTATTTCAGATATTTCCTTTAGTAGGCTACGATGGATAATGGAAACACATCATACTCGCCTTAGAATCTTTTTAACTGCAATTTTTATTCATTCATCAAACCAAAGTATTAATTATTTAGAAGCAAAATAAAAAAACCTTTAAATCAGCAGTTACCAATAATTAATTTCCGAGGTTTCCGCACAAGCCTGACGATACTATCATATAATTCTTGCGATTCAATATGCTAATACGCCAACAGCTCATCAGTCATCGATGAGAATTCAAGCCGCCTGCCAAAGCCACAATATCAGCCAATTCATCACAAAAGACGCCACCAACTCAATAATTTAGTTTGGGCAATTTTTTTTGATTAAGCGATGACATATTTTATGCTTCGAAGGACATATGCCACCTGGGAGGTCATTCCATGACAGCGACTTCAAAAGGGAATTTTGGCAACTCCAACCATCTGCGTCCTGTGTGGGCCATCGCATGATTACATCCTACCACTTAATGGCAGTTTTATGCATTTCGCAAAGTATCGTCAAAACGTGACGGATCCTATCTATAAATCTTCATAAAGAGTAATATTAATTTAGCAACTTGCGATGGATGCGGCAATACTTGTAGAGCAGAATTATGCGATTTGTTCAAAAAGACGGTTATTATTTTCAAATAGCCGTAGGGAATTTCTGTGGAAATGCACTGAATTACTTATGTCACTGATGGAGTGGCGGTTATTGGTATTTGATGCCGAACTAGAATTACCCCAGAAAAAGATCATTCTAATTGAACATATGGTTATGCCAAAATTATAATTTCATGAGACGAAGTAGAGGGTTTTGACTTTGGTTTTGGAATGTGGAAATAGGTTTTTTTTTTTTTTTTTTTTTTTTTTTTTTTTTCTTTCCCCAGCAAAAGTGTAAATTGATTTTCATGAACCAAACGTACTGAAAACAAATATTAATCGATAATAATTTGAAATAGTCTGGGCCGATACACAAAATTAGAAACCTGGACCAAAATATATTCCGGAGCTTCCCCCAACTTCTAATTTTTTCACTGTAACGGATGCCAGTAATGCAAATTATATTGTGAAGCACACTTTATATAAAATACTTCGCGAAATAATCTTATAATTCAACATTTCTCATTCAAGTTATTTTTTTAAATATGTATTTCAAGTTTTTCGTACTTTTGTTTTCATTGATTTCAGTTTTCTTACGTATTGTATAAGATAAATATTTACACGTTTTATTTTTTTTTTATCCCTGAAAAAAAGATAAGAGGTTAATTCTTATTTATTTTATTGGATTGAAACATAAGTAATGGACGTTTTTTTAATTTAAAATTTTTTATTTTAACAAAACAATAAATTGAACAATAATATTCGAGTTTTTGGACTTTGCCCATACACCCAAGATATCGAACTATAGTCATTTGGTTAATTCTCGAGTGGTTTGACGCACGTTTCGTGCAGAAACTGGTCCACACGCTCTTCATCAAGTTCATTGGATCGTCCGCACGAGCAACGTCTTAGAGGTCGAAATTTCCATTTTTTTGAATTTGGCTAACCAATTTCTTGCAGTTCGTTCAGGCATTGCATCTTCTCCATACACTTGACAAATCTCTCGGCCACCTTCTGCAGCATTGGCGTCTCGATTAAACGCAAAAAGAAGAAGGGGTCGAAAATGCTTATTTTTGTCGACTTAACACTCCTTTTTAATGATCTGAAAAATAACAGAAATTAGCTCAGACGAAAAAATCAAATACCCCATCTTGTAGTGGGAAAGATTCTCTGTCGAATAACACAAAACATTATGCCAATACATTTTATTTTTACCTCGTAATTTGAACCACAACATAAACGGCCATTACTTATGTTTAAAACCAATACTACAATAATAACGATTCAATAATCGAGCATATGAATGAAATATAGACTTAAAAAATGCAATTTCTTTAAATTATTAAATTATTAAGAAATCATATTTTCTGATGGATTTTGTTAAAAAAATCAAATCATCTTTATTGTTACAAATCTTAATTTAATAAGCTAAATTTAAATAAAAGACTTCAGTTCTTTTTTTTTTTACTTTATTTCTTAGAAATTAAATAATAGATAATTTAAATAAAATACTTTAATATGTTGGATATTCTAACAGAAGGGGTTTAATCGAAAAATGAAATTAAATGAATTTGTATTTTCTAGCTTCTTCTGCAAATATTTGTTTTATTTTAAGAAAAAAATGAGGAATACTTTTATTACCTTAGCTTATTCTAAAAAAAAACTATTAAAAATTTTCACGACGAGATTGTTTTCGTGACGTCTACCTACGTACGTATATAGTATGTAGCTCGCATAACTCAAAAATGAGTAGCCTCAGATCACTGAAATTTTGTACATGGAATTGTTGTAACACGTAGTTGTGCACCTCCCTTTTTTATTACAATCGGCCACATCAAGAGTATATCCCCATAGCACCGAACATCCTCAAGATGTCCTATTTAAGTCGCAATATCCCGGAACATACTTAGGATATCCTGAGTATGTTGATTCTCAGATGTCCTGAGGACATCGTAATTTAACATCCTGAGGATGTCATGTTTAAGTCGCTATGTCCCTGGATATGTGAAGATGTTGATTCTCAGACGTCCTGAGGACTTCACTAATTTCACATCCTGAGGATATTCGTACTGCGTTTTCAGGAGGACTTCCGTTATAAAACATTCTGAGAATATTATTTGTTCTCAAATTTAACAACTTTAGTTTTTTTGTCCCTGCACAACTTTAGTTTTTTGACATTACACATCTGACAGCATGCATATTATTTAACTTTCACGCGCATTTTGCTAAGAGTTGTTTTGAAATGCTGTTCATTAAAATATCGATATAGGCTATTATTATTCCTTCGTTATTATAAAATTAATAACTATAATTAAAATGCTAGAAAAAATAGTAGTTAAAATACTACTATTTTTTCTAGCATTTTAAAAAATTTATTTATTTCTAGAATACTTACTAAATTCTAAATAACATATATCTTTATGAAAAATTGTTTAAAATACTTATATAATTGCTTTCAAATTGCAAACGTCGCTATAAATATAGGCAAAATTAGAAAAATAGACTTTTTAAAAAAAATTACAGGACAAAAAATGCTTTTCAACCGCGTACTGCTACTGCTATTGAATTACAGTCGTGCGATAATTTCGCATTAAAGAGAATTCTCTTTGATGACTGTCCACGATTCGAGAAGTTTTGGTCTTCTATAGAGATAGTCGTCTTAGAGAAATAATGCTTAATTATCAATATTTATTTATATTGTTAGAAATATTGGTCACTTTCAGAAGTTGTCGTTTGAGAGCGGATGTTCTATCGTTTATTTACTAATACTCTCAGAATCTAAATATCTAAATGTATTATTGCAAAACAATTCTTTTGAAAACAAAACACAAACATGCCCAGTATTTTCGCGCATTAAGCTGCGAAAAAATTATTATTAAAGACATAGAGCAAGAAATTTAGAACTAATATTTCACAAAGACCAGAAATTGAAATGCATAATTAATAAATTTCAAATCATTATATAAATGCAACAAAGAATTTTAAAATGTTAAATCCAAAACATTTCAATGAAACAAAACCCCATTTAAAAAAATTAACGAAATTTAAAGAAAAATGAACAAAAACAGAAGAGGAATTCAATCAACCTCAATGTCACTTCATCAGGGAGGAGAAGTAACTCCACATATTGCCTTTTACAATACGTGTACCAGTCTTAAAAATAATGCAGTTTTCTTACATTACACATTTTAAAACACTTCATACCATTAATTTTACATTGTTTAAGATGTTTATATGTATTTGGAAGTCAATAACATCAAAACGATCTGCTAAACTGTAAACATAACATCGGAATAAATATTTTCGATGTCAGCCAATTCATCAAGTTTCTTCAGTTGCAAAATGTTTTATTGGAAAGCTAAAAAATCTTATTATTAAATATTGAATACAATATAACAATAATAAAACGTTTTAAGAAATACTTTAAGAAGAAATTAAATTAGTTATAAATTGTTTTGCATGCAAATGGTTTATATCTGTAGGCATTTATTTACCTGTAACCGAAATATACCATTTTCTGTATTACTCTGTCTTTGTAAAAAAGGGAAAGGTTCTCTGTAAACGCTGTTTCGCGAAAAGTTGCGCCTCCAAAAAATAATGCTACAAAATATGTGTAAACATAACAATTAAATTTTCATTTGCAGAATATCCATAGAGTAAGATTTCGATTCTTAAAATATGACTTGAGAAGTGCTCAGGATATCTGAGAATGAACATCCTCAGGACTGTTTCCCGGGACATTGCGACTTAAATAAGATATTCTGAGGATGTCTTGTGTTATGGAGGTAAAGGAAAATCCCTTTTGGAGTGTTTTTGGTCAGATTGACGGTATGGCAGTGACCAAAACAGTATCGAATTACTATTGTATTCAAATAAACCTGGGACAGCATAAATGAGATTCACAATTAGACAAACGAGGCGCAATATTCATTTTATTATCATTAATGTCTGTATGTAAGTACATGATATTAACCCTGAGAATATAGTATTTTATACAATACACAAAATAATTCATACAGTAATTTGCATGTATTATTAACCCAGTTGGAAATCTTAGTGTAAACCACGAAAAACTGGATTTCTGTCGAGGTTCGATTGGACACTGGCGACTTGAAGCCTATTCATTTTTCAAGCAATTACAATCAGAACTTCTTTTTGAAAAAAAAAAAAAAAAGCATTCAGAATTCCTTTCTGATTCGATACTGATTGCTTTCTTTCTTACCATGGTATTATTGTTGCAGCGATCTAACCGCATAAATTCCCTGATTTATTGTCAAATACGCGAAAGAAAAGCTTCGTATTCTCATATAAATTGTGATGTGACGAACTGCATATTTTACTACTGTTATGCACTAAACGGAAGAGAGGTACGTCTTCGTGGAGGACTTTCTAAGGAAACTGGCTCGTACTAACACGTTACGACTGTTTCTGGCTCGTACTAACACGTTACACGTGAGGAAAACCACGGAAACGCCCAAGCAGTCAGTCCATTCGCGGGATTCGAATCTTGGACCGAACTACCAGTGTTCAGAGACTGTACCGCTCGGCCGCTAGTGACTACACATCGCATGCATTTTTAAAACTCATTTCGGATAATTTAAAATAACTGTCAATTGACTTAAATGCTAACACAGTTCATTGAGTATAAAATGCCTAAAATGTACTTAATTTGTAAGATTTCAGTTTCACTTACCCGTTATTTTATGTTAATTTTTTTTCTGTCCTTCTCTTTCGCATTTTCCTGCCAGAATGTGAATTTCTAGCTCTCGTGTATTCAAACGAAAGTTTTAAAGGATATAATCAGAGCGTATTCTGCCTTCTGAAGGCCAGGTTACTAAATTGATTCCCTTAAGAGCTGTGTTCTACGGCGCTGCGTTATTTCCGCCGTTAGGCTTATCACGATGACTCTAGGTCGGAGCCAACTTGCACGTTTCTGTATCTGTGTAGCCGTTGGCCTAACTTACATTTACTTAGTTAAGTCAAATTCATTATTTTTGATTTAAGCCATAAATGCTGGCTATTCTGTAAGCACGAGTGGTGCCGTCTGTTAACAATTAAGTTAAATAACTTAATTGTTACTTACATTTACTTAGTTAAGTCATTATTTTTGATTTAAGCCATGAATGCTGGCTATTCTTGACATTTACTTGACATTCAATGACATTTACTTAGTTAAGTCAAATTCATTATTTTTGATTTAAGCCATAAATGCTGGCTATTCTGTAAGCGCGAGTGGTGCCGTCTGTTAACAATTAAGTTAAATAAAAGAGTCTGTTACGTTCTTTCTCAGTCTCTGTGATACTTTACAAGACACAGTAGTAATTCACTTAAGTCTTAGAAATTTCTTACACTGAAATCTCCCAAAGAACCCGAGACTTTGTAAAGTTATAACTTTTTCTTATATAGGATGTCTCGTAACGACTTGAGTGTTGCAGAGTTTCGGCATAAAAGTATACAGCATTTCACTCAAAGTCCATCCTCCATAATAAGTCGTAATAATCTCCAAAATTTTAATATACCAATTATTGTAACTAAAAGGCTAGAATAATGGGGTTAATGGCTGGGCCGTTATTGCCGCCTCCAAATTTTAAAAAAAAAAAAAAAAAAGAAAAGAAAAAAAAAAAAAAAAAGTTCTCAATGATTAATAAAATTTTTATGTCACACTCGCTAAGTACTTACATATGGCAAATAGTATAAAAAGTATTTACATATGACAAGTACTTACAATGAATTTAATGAATTTAATGAATTTAAAATATTTAGGCATGGTATCCCCAGAATCCGGCCGCCCCTTATTTTCGCCGCCTGCATACTTTTACGCGCTGCACCGCCACTAGGAACGGCCCTGGTTAATGTTAATGGAAAGCTAAACTTTCATGCCTTTTGCAAATTCTCGATGTATAAACCCTTCATGGCAAGAACAAACGCATTCTCCCCACCGTGCATTCTTTTCAGTCAACATTCTCCTCACCTTTACCAAGTCTACTAATGACATCCTTGATACAGCGGTTTTCCGGCGCTAATAAATCTGGGTAAAATTAGAATCAAATCCCTTCCATTTTCAAAGCCATCTAATAGATAGCCTGCAAGTGGGTCTCAAGTGATCCAGCTTGTTTGGCTGCCTCGATTGCAGTGGCTGAGTACCATATAAATCGCTGAGTACCATACTCTGGCAACATTATGAACAGGTATTTGTGTAGCCCTTGTCCCAAAATTCAATGGGACTGGTGCAACGCCTGACTCCCCGTCTCTTATCTTTCACGTAGAACTAGCAAACTTCCCAAGTAGCACATGACGTAGCAAAGACGTTACTAGGACCACTTTGCAACCTCTTGGACCAGTCTGCAACGTCTTTGCTACGTTACTACTTGGGTTGAAGATAAGTGCAGGCAGTATTAGTTTGCTTTTCGCTAAAGAAAGGTCCTGTTCAGAATTTGTAAGGAACAGCACTGACTATTTGTCTTTCCTTTACCATCAACTACGTCGCCCTCTTCCTTTACGTTGTAGTCTAGAATTACATTAATCTCTCAATGGTCTAGGCATATGATCTCTATGGTGCTATGGTTGCCGTATAGAATTACATTAATCTCTCTGGTTCCAGTGACATTAACATATATTTATAGCTGGGTTAATAATGATGTTTATTTTATTATATGAGAAAAATCTAACTTCACCACGGTCTCCACATGGATTCATAACAGTTACGTTTGCGTTTATCTTTTCTCAAAGGTTCGTAATTAATATTTGCCTCCACAGTAATGGATGATTTGCTGTTGCTGCAAGGGAGTTCTGGACTGTATGGTGGCATGTCTAATTCATCGTCATCCGTTGAAGAATGAGAAAGCAACGACATTGATGTTTCGTTAGATGTTTCTGGATGTATTTTTTCTAAAAGCGCTGTTTCAAAACTGTCTGCATTAAAATGGTACAGTTTCGGCTTCACTTTTCTGCTGCAGACAGAAACCTCTGATGTGTTTTTTGAGTCTAAGGCGTTGGATTTTGAGTGGCTTGTAGCAGTACAGCTTTCTCCGACGAATCCAGATTTCAGTTTCTCTTCTAAATAAAGGTGGATGGAACTTTGCAGCAATTCGCTTGAGCCATTTGCGAAGTCGCTTTGCTGGAAGAAGTCTTGAACTTCTGACATACATAGTCTGTATCCTTTTTCGAAAAACCTACTGGAATTTCTTTCATCCAAAATTCCTAATTTTCCTAAAACCAAACAAATAAAATAAAATAAATAAATAACTAAAATAAAAATAAAATCTTTAAGGATTTAGATATCAAAGATCGCTCAAAAGGGCTCTTCTTAAGTTTAACATAGTTTATCAGTAGATAATATCCCTAGAGATGGCCCTGGCGGGGGGGGGAGTTGTTAGCTTTAATCTGCTTTAAATCGATAATTTAAAATCTGCTTTAAATCAGATTTTAAAAGCTTGTTCACAATTCATAGCTCTAGAGATATTTAAAGATTTTGCAATAGCTTTGGGGGGTGGGAGCTGGATTTTCCTAAAAATATGAGATGTGAATTAGATTTAATAAGAGCTGTATTACCTTTGTTGGGTATGTATTTTTTACCTTTTTTCCAAGTCAGATGTAAACTTTGACGTTTCTTTCCTTCCATATTAATTATGTCGCCATATCGCCTATTTTATGTGTAGAAATATTAAAATCATACTTTCCATATCTTTTTTTAATAATTGAATAACAGTATTTCTCTTCGGACAGCGCAAAAATATAGGCTTCGATCCGTTGTTTATTTTTCAGCGACATTTGAAAGAAAATAATGTTTTCAATGCTGCAGACGATAATTAAAACCCTTTTTAAGATTCTAGCTATATTAAATTTATTTTGAAGGCTAGATCTTGACTTGAACTGCGAAGCAACTATTCAATAAGTTCAACTTGTATCAGTAACAACATATAAAAAGGGTAAAAGGACCATTTTATTGAACTCAAGAACGGTTGGCACTCCTGCTGTTTACAGGGCTTCGCCAATACTTTTGGCGGCAACACAAAACAGAAAACCTTAAATTAAAACTAATCCCAAGTTGAATAATCAACTAAAATAAAAATAAAAAAATTTAACGCCCAAATTTGTGGGCTAAATAATCAGGAGCTGCACAGAGATATTTAAACCGGTAGTTGGCTCTCGGCCCTACCACCGACGTAGACTATACGGCAATTAATACGCACAGCCGTAAAATAGCAAGCTTAACTAGCACAGAAACAATGTGGTCGAAAGGCAGAACACGCTCTGAACAACCTCTGAAGTAACTCAGACGCCAGCTTAAACAGCTTTCTACACTACTTTGCAGTGCGCGAATTTTATATTACGCCATCGTTTTCTAACGGTTTGTGTGTTACCTTTATTTATTAAATATCATGTTCATCGGACACATAACACATAAAATTCAGTTCAACTGCAATATCACGTAATATTTGAAAACAGCATATCTTTAAAATTTCCGATACACAGTGTCGAGCGCTGGAGATAAAAATGTCTTTTTCCTCAGTGGCAGTGTTGCCATGGCTGGCTTTGAAATCGTTGAGTTTGTTTATCAAAAATTCGTTAAATCTTTGCAAAATTTGAAATATTAAAGGTTTACAAAATTCGGCCTTCACAGTGCCCATGTTCGGTTGGAAGACTACGTTATTCAAAATTACATGGCTCTAAGCACCGTTGGTTTTCCACAATGCGAGAAACATTCATGTATTCGTGCAGATTCTTCATTATTTAGTTTCTTTAAATATAATACATGGTGATAATATTTGGTGGCAACAGTTTGAAAAGTGAATCGATACAAAATGCCGTTTTGAAATTAATAGCCCTTCTCGGCTAACGCCCAAATTTGTGGGCTAAAAATCCCACAAATTTATTTGCTTATTTCTGAAAGACAAATTCGTATATTATTAAATCTTAAGGGAAAGCTATTTTGAAGGAAAGTCAAAGAAATACTGTTATTCAATTATTTTTTCATATATTTGTATCATTATTATATAAGAAATTAATAATGAAAGAATTTTTCTCAGAGATTACGCATTATGTTCCTCCCTGATACATTTCTTAAAAGTTAGGTTAAGTAAGTTATTTTGTTACGTCAAAATGTTCAAGCGCTACCTGTCTCGCTCCCCTTGTTTTTAAAAAAATTCCTTCATTACTTACGTTTCATGGTGAAGTAACGTAACTCTTATGCATACATGTCATTTTGTCGTCGGATATTGATTCCAGAACGGGATTAGCCAAATGGAATGCCAAAATAGTGATAGGGAGTCTGTTGCCCAGATGCCAGTTTTGGAGATGACAGAGGTGTTTACAAGTGTACAATGTCTTCGCGTATGGGGACACTTAAAATGCTGTCAAGCCGTAAGTCTTATGCAGAGGTTGGTGGAAAAGGGCAAGGTGTATGGGACATTCTTGGATCCGTTCCCTTTGGGAATTCTCGTTCAAAATTGGGCAAATTCGAAATGTCCGAGGTCTAAACTAATGTTAGGCACAGCTCTTGTGTGTTGTCCACAATAAAATTCGTAGACGTGATCTGATATTACTGTCATAGAAATGATAAGTCACAACAACACATACGCAACAAATCTGAAATGTTGTTTGAAGGAATATGTAAGCTTGTATAGACCACTGAGCATTTTATTTCAGAGCAGAAGATATGAAAAATGTGCAATGTTCTCGCGGGGTCTCGAATTCCGGATTTTCGATGTCAGCCGGGCGTGATTTTCTATTACATTACGTAGCCATGCGGTATGGAAAGAGAAAATACCTTACCTCTCCGCGACTTGTGTGAAGGGGACCCAGCCGTCAAATACTGGCGGTGACAAATTATCGTCCATTACCTGCCACGTCACAAGCAGTGACGTCAGGAGATTTTCTGTTATATATGGTTTCAAACAAGCACTAGGTGGCACGGGCAATACCGTTAGGGAAGAAGGACAATGAATGAGATGTTGCCAAGTACATAGCCTATTTTGGACGTTGAATGTAATACACATATAAAGGTTGAAAAGACCAGAATACGAATCTTTTCTTTGCATACTAGAAAACTCGTTCATTCCTAAATGTCATGAGTGGTCAGATCCAACTACAAAGTCAAACAAATCACCAAAATCTAATGTGATCTGTGCAAGTGAATCTAACATTAAGCATAGTCAGATTTTACTCTGTTCAGCAGTGATTAAAGTTCAGAATGCAAAGCAAGGGTTAATAAAATACAGATGCATGTTGGATACTTAAAGTCAAAGGTCAGTGTGCAGAAAGACTTGGTTTGAGCGGGTAATATAGTAGTTCAATTTCAGTTTCAGGCTTAGGCACTTTTAGTCACTGTCAGTAATGGAGAATTAGATTTATTGTTTACTCCCCATTTTAATAGTGACTTTGTAGAGGTATTATTTTTTTTTGGGGGGGGGAGCAAGACACGTGAAAAATGTGCTATGTCCTCGCCGGGACTCAAGCCTAGATCTCTCGAATACACGACGAGTGTGCTACCGTTACACCACGAAGGCATGTTAGAAGGAAGGATAAAATCCTTGTATACTCCCACTTTTTAAAGGATGACTGGGGATTAGGGGCCCAGTCGTCAAAATCCTGGTGGTAACGAATTATTCTCCACTACCCTTTTAGTTCGGGCGCCAGTTGTAGTGGTCATTAGGTTTTTTAGTCAAGTCATTAGGTTGTTTTTTTTTTTTTTTTATTCATAAGATGTGAAAAATGTGTAGTGCCCTCGCCGGAACTGGAACCTAGACCTTTCGAATATGCGTCGAGTGCGCTATCATTATACTACAAAGGCATGCTGGAAAGAGGGAGATTCAAAAAAAAAAATTCAGCTGCTGCCTTCGCTATAGAAAATATCAGCAACATACTCCCCTTAAATCTAGTAGTTTCGATGAAAAGAAAAGGAAAGATACATGGTAAGCAATAAATTTATATTGTTTGATCAAAGTGAGCTATTGCCAAAGGTTCTGATTTGAAAAAAAAATGTATGCACAAATGAATAATATGGGACTCACAGAAAGCGAGATTCAAATAATGATAAAAACTACTGAAAATCACCTTCGACTTTAAATAAAAGCTTGACTACTGACTGAAGAAGCTGAAGCAAAGCTATGCGCTGTACAGAAAGAAATTCCGTTACTGAAAGAAAAATGAAGTGTTCTTTAATCAAATTCTGATCGTTTCGGACCTGAAGAAAGAGATGCACTTCCTATATTTAAAACGAAATACTCATAGGAATGGAAAATAAGAAGATAGTTTAATTTTGAATGCGCGCTGAAGTTGTTAATTTTAGTCGTTATTTACCTCTGGTGGAAAAAATATATAAGTATTTACTGTTGCTTTCACGTTTAGTTAGGGCGACGCTCTCGAGTCAAAAATCACGACGCTCTTATCGTGATCCAGATTCCGGAATTCTCGATTGCCAATCGGACGTGCTTTCACGAAGGTACGGGGTAAGGAAAGAGAAAATATCATATAAGTCATATAAATTAACAGGATTTGTAAAGTTTTCCAATTCTGCAAATCCTTTATTGAAATATAAATTAACAGTAAATGATAATATAAGTAAATGATATAAATGTACTTCTCCTTTTGAAATAAATCTTTTCAAATGAAATAAGCCGCCCAACCGGGATAGTGCTTAGTGACCGAAGGGCCAGTATTCAAATCATGAAGAAGGCATGGATGTTTCTAAATGTATAGTGTCTGTGCGGCATGGGGCGCATTAAATATGAGGAAAGCCGAAAATAAATGTTAAAATTTCTAAGTAAATGATATAAATGAAATGACTAGATGCATCTTTACTTTTGTTTGCTTAATAAACCTTTCAAAGAAATAAGCGCCAACAGGCGGTAGCGCTTAATATGAAGTGAGCCAGTATTCAACTCATGAAGAGCATGGATGTTTCTAAATTGTATAGTGTTGGCGGCACAAAGGGCGCATTTTTTTTATTGAGAAAGCCGAAAGTCCTTCGAGAGCAATATTCAGGTTTGTTTAAATTATACAGAATTATACCAAACATAATTTTTTCCATAAAGGATTAACTGTGTGGAACGCGATGATATTTCCGTGGGCGCAATGTATTAATGACATAACCCCCAGCGTTCAGCAAGAGTTTATTGTTTAGAATTTTTTTTAAATAGTTGCATTAGAAAATCTTTATTATTATAAAATTATATTAATTATTTATCGTTCTACACAAAGAATCCATCTTCATATTGCTAAAATTCATTTTATTATATCAATGGAAAAGAGATTATTCTAATTTTTTTTTAAATAAATAAATATGTGGAGTCATTTGGCTTATTTTAGAACAGGAAACATGAAAAATCAGAGATGCTTTCACCGAGATTCGAACTCCAGACATACTGAGGCGAATGTGCTTCCAGTTTCATCACGGTTTGGTTTGGTTTAGTTTATTTAATTACGCCAAACACGCGAGAGCTATCTGTCTCAGGGTAGGGATGCCTTCTGGAGGACTTTCTAAGGGAAAAAGACGTTACACATGATGCAAACCACGAAAACATCCATGCAGCCAGCTCGTTCACCTGGAATAGAACCCAGGTCAGAACCACCAATGCTGAGCGACTTTACCACTCGGCCGCAGGTGGGCCCAATTATATCACGGACAGCATGCGATACTCGAGGAGAAAATTTATTACAAATAATTGCAAGCATGTATTGGCAACAGCTTCTTTTATTCCAAGAGCTAAAGTTTTCCACAACATATATAAAATAACACCTCTTTCGAGTTTTAAAAATCACAGTGTTTTCAACTCCCACAGCATCATTTACTTATTGAAAGGAGAGATAAAAGAAGCTAAACATTTACTGTTATATTTTATACGTATGAAATGTAATATAAAACACTAAACTGAAGAACATTTTAACTTACCTGATTTTAATTTTTCGTGAATCTTCTTCAAGTAATTGACAGTCATTTCTAAAATGTCAGCTTTCTCCATCCTGTTAATACGCTTCTGCAAAACAAAATTGTTTGTGGAAAAAATAAATAATCTTAACATGTGCTTAAAAAATTATTTTAACTGAGAATCACACGAGAATAATTTAAAGAGTAAACAAAAAGCGTTTTAAGAACAGCCATATAAGCTGAAATTAAATATTCGTGATTATGAAATCCTTGCCCCCCTCAACCCTCCAACGCCTAGACGTATGAACTGGTCAAGCACGTATGAGAAAATTACATGTATGATTTAGCGGTTATATGGTTGGACTATATAATTCTTGTTTTTTATTGCATCACTGAGAGTTTCCGTTTTTTTTTTTTTTTTTTTTTTTTTTTTTTTTTTTTTTTTTTTTTTTTTTGTCGTGACCCCACTAGCGACCTAGAGTAACTTCTCGAACACTGGTATTTATTCTGGGTTCGAATCCACGGAAAGGAGCATGATGTAAGTGGACACTGTGAGTTTCCTGGAGAGTTCTCCACGTAGGCATCAGGAACCGATAGCCCAAGGCTTTGCCTTAATCTAAAATAAACCAGCAAATTAATTTTATGATACGCAGGAATCACACATTTTAACTGCGCTTTAAAATTATGAGCCCACCTTCTTGGAAAGAATACGCAAAAGTCATGACAATGAACGGTTTTGGTTTGGCTACCTGCCTTAAGGTTATCTGCCTTTGGTTCGAGGCTATCTGCCTTTAGGGAGGGATGCCTTCGTGGAGGACTATCTAAGGGAAACTGCCTCGAGGCTAGCTGCACATGAGGGGGGGTTTAAAACACGGGTAAAACCACGAAAACGCCCATGCAGCCTGCCCGTTCGCGGGATTCGAACCTCGGACCGAACTACCAGCGTTCAGCGACGTTTCCGCTCGGCCGCTGGTGGGCTAACAATGGACGGAGCTAAGCGAATTATCGCTATGTCCAGTAAGGAAATAGAGAACGTAAGAATGGTGTAAAAGATCCTTTTACTCCGAACTCAAAATAATTTAACAACAATTCCATCTGGCGCTTAAAACCCAGCCAGCATTTATGATGTAACTCAAAAGTTAGAAATTCAGATTAACTAAATTAAAGCTTAAGATAACTCAAAAGGTACACACAAGTTACCTCAAATTTATACGGGCTTGACAAACACTATTGGCAACAATAAAGCAACACCGAAAACAAACTGTTCTCATAGTTTTTATACTAGGGTTTCAGTAGCAGAACACGCTTTTGGCTAAACGAATCTAATGTCCCTTTAAGTACTGTATCTTTCTACCTCATTTGAATACGCGTGAACTAAAATTAGCATTCTGGCAGAAAAACGGAGAGGGTGAATGTTAGTAAAGCTGCCATAAAATAACTGTTTAGAGGAAATAAATAATAATGGGTATAAAATTACAACATAATCGGTATAAAATGTTGCTAAATGGGAATCTAGGAATCGGAAGAACATACAAAATTTGAAATCCCGTAATTAAAAAAAAATTTTTATTATTTAAAAATACCAAAAACATGAATTTGTGCATCATTTAAAACACTTTTATAGTAAAGGTTATAAGGTTTATCCTAATTTTATAACAGTTATGCTTTAAGCTCCGTTTTTATCTCCCCGATTTCAGCTTACAAATCCTTACCAGAATGTGTTTTTTAGAATCGCGTTAAATGCAAATGAGAAGGAGTAGTACTTAAGTCGAAGTTACGCTGAACTCGAGAGAGAGAAACAGAGTTTCTGACTAGCGCGCGTTGGCCTTTTGGCCATGTCTGTCTAAACTGTTACTACGCTCGGCCGTATTACGGACCCTTGATAGCTTCGCTAGCTAATTCGATATTTAGGGGCCAACTACTTAGAATTGTGTTAGCTTCGGCTACATCTCTTTAGTTAGTCATTAGTCAACAAGGAAGGGGGGAGTAAAACATCAAAGTTTGGCTTCAAGTGGAAAAGTTTTTCCAAACACATATCCAAGGAAAAAACGGAATATTTCGAATATTGCATATAAAGATAAGAGGCCCTAAGCCTTTAAAAGGTTTTGAAGCTCCCACATATGCTTACGTCTGCCCCTATTTATTTCTCGCTCGTCTTGGTTTAGCTGCACCAGCCCGTCATAAAGTGTAGGGTTTTGGGTGCTCTTTTGTAGAAGAGCTTTTGTAAAACTGTAGGATTTCTGCTAGCTCTTTTGCAAACTATATGGTTCTGCTTGCTGTTTTGTAAATTTGTAGGATTCTGCTTTTCTGTAGAAAAGCTTTTGTAAAAGTGTAGGATTCTCCTTGATCTTTTTCCGAAGAGTTTTTGTAAAAGTGTAGAGTTCTGCTTGCTTTTTTGCTGAAGAGTTTTTGTAAAAGTGTAGGGTTCTCTTTGCTCTTTTGCCGAAGAGTTTTTGTAAAAGTGTAGGGTTCTGCTTGTTCTTTTGTAGAAGAGCTTTTTTTAACTTTTCGTAAAACCAGGGTTCTGCTTGCTCTTTTGTAGAAAAGCTTTTGTAAAACTGTACGTTCCTGCTTGCTTTTTTGTAGAAAAGCTTTTGTAAAACTGTACGTTTCTGCTTGCTCTTTTGTAGAAGCTTAAATCAATGTCTTTCAGACCCTCTAGACAGACAAGCGAGTTATCACTCTAGTCTGAAGCAGATGACAAAGTCTTAAATTCAAGTTTAAGTAACATAATCTGAAACTACACTCAAAATAGTCTACTTAAGTAATGGATATCACGTTTCTAAAGTCGGCTAGCAAAAATGGCTAAAGCCGGAATAAACTCTAGTACAGTTGACGACAGGATGTTAACTCCAAACGAGGCTGCCAGAAACTGTAATTTTAATACATTCAAAACCTCGGCTTAAATACTCTACAATTAATTTGCATTGTGGTGAGGACTACGGAAAGACAAAGTTATAGCAAAATTTTCAAACCATAATTATTGATTAATTAATATAAAATCCTACAAAACTGGCAACAGAAATTTTTTGGTGCTCTTTCTTGGAGTTCCTAATGACCTTTCTGTGGTGCTGCTTTCTTTGGTGGGTTAAACTGGTACTTATTTTACTTAATGGTTTATCCAGCTCTGTTTAAGGATTGTGTGCTGAAAATTAAAAAAAAAAAAAAATAAATGAAATAAAAATCCCGAGACTTATTTTGTTCTGATAATCACTTTATTGCGATGGGATGGAACCGAACCAGCGACATATCGAGGGATGTCTATGCTACGTTGGTGGTTCGGTTTTATGTACTACTTACTTAACACAATGTAATGTTTAATGATTGACAGAAATTTTCGGTCGTTTTTTGCTCGTAAGGAGAAAGATAATCAATCCTGTTAAAAGCCAATTAGAAGCCATCGAATTACTATCCAACTGAAACACATAAAACGACCGCAATTACATCAATTGTGCTTCTTTATTAGATAAACAAGTATCTGAGAACATCACGAATAAACGACATAAAAGCAAACCAGCAATTAATGGACCACAAATCTTGGATTCCGTTTGTAATAGGAAGCTATTGATTCCTAATCCAGAGTACTGTAAAAATAAATTATATATCTCTTTAAGATCGATTAATGATGATTCGGTGTCATAAAATTCTTTGATAACAATTTTAAGCTTACTGTAGCTTAAACCTGAATTCAGTCGATTGAGTTGAATGTACTGAGTTTCGAATTCTTCAAGATGTAAATTACACTGGCCTGTTAGAACGTTTCTGAAGAATTTAGCTGCTGCTAAAGCAATTTTAGACGTAAAATATAAAACATCTCATCAGAAATTATATAGCACTTACCACATTTTCATAAATATGATTCCTTTTATTATATCTGAGATAGGTTAACATATGTCTACTGTTATTCACGAAGCAGAATTTAAATTCATTTCATAGAAATTTTTTTGAACAAAAGTAGATTAAACAGTACAGAAGAAAATTTTTTTTTCATTATATTTTAATCTTTTAAATAACTATATTTTTTAAAACTTTTACATTTGAAATGACTTCAGTTTTCACCACCACTTTCAAAACCATTTTAATTGATTACATATACAGCACTGGTAAATTTTGTAAACTGTATAGTGTTTTTCGAGAGTATTAGCGAAAGAAAGATAAATGAAAAAGGAGCTATGCCCTCGCGAGTATCCGAACTCAGGACCTTCCGATTGTTATCGGAAAGTGTTAAACTAACATCATGAAGGTGCACTGTGAGGATGCGCAAGATGCCTTGTATAGTGTTCTTTATCGGTGGAAATTTTAACTAAATATTTACTGCCTCTTCCCCAAAAAAGTTCCGCTTCCTTCAATTTGAAGCAAACCTAGCACCGTATATTTATAATTTTTTGTAATCTTTAAGAATTTTTAGCACCCCACTGACCATGTTATCCTGTACAGTGATGACTCACTGAAACGTTATTAACACGTTTCAAATGGCTGGAATTATGTCTAACTGGACGTATACCAAATTAACTTTTCCAGTAAGAAATAATAAAAAGTAAGTAATCTTTTCTTATAAAAAGTCTTATTATAATTATAATATACATTAATATTTAAAATTAATGTAATATACTAAAATATAATGTACTATGTAATACTAAAATATACTGTAGTTAAAATATAAAATATCAACTGTACGCACAATGAAATACTCAGCATTAATGTTTTTCTGTTATCCTTATCAAAAGCAATTTCTCAAACGTCTTAATTTTCTCTCGACGTCTCTGATCTTGCTTGGTAATGGGATTTCACTCCTATTGTTGTTGTTGTTGCTTATGATTACTTGTCTGACGTAGTCAGCCCAAGCTCACGAAATTCCTCGTGGCATGGAGCGCTGGATTACGCCTGCCGTTGGCAACAGCCTTGAGCACCATTCAGGTGACAGCGTGATTTAGCTCAGTTCCACCGCCAATTTTGATGGAGAGCACCCCGGGGGGGGGAAGACGGATTCGAGAGTCTCCCACCCCTCTCCCCTTCCAACAAAACCACATGAGAGGACTTTGGGCTCGCCGCATATTTAGAGCGCCCCGCTGCCGCAGCAACCGACCACACATACGCGCTTTTACCGAGATCGCGACTGGCTTTCCGTCGAACCCTGGTCCGAGTTTCGTCGCGTTTTAGTTTAGTTTTTCTCACGAGGTGGGTTGATACTTTGGAATTTTCTCCTTCCAGCAGGCCTTGTGGTGGAAACTCCACACGGCGGGTTGCGGTCCGTCAACGGATCCCGCGAGGGCTATTGAGATTTTTATGTCGAGGCCATTGCAGATTTTCATGGTCCCTGCATTCCAAAGTGGCTTTTCCCGCCAGGTGGTGGATTCACCGAAGGGTTCCCGCCGCTAAGGTGGGACCCTAACCCGATATCGCCCAGCGGATTCAAGAGCCTCACCCTAAAGACTATTCAAGGCTCAATTTAAATAAATGACTTCTTTCTATTAATTTTAATAATAGTTTTTTATTATTATTAATTTTAATATGTTTAATTTGCTTTAATCTAATTATTAATTAATTATATTTATGATAATTATTTATAAATTTAATTGGGTTGGATTAATTATTATAAATTATTAATTAAGTGATTAAATGGAAATAAAATTAAATCGATAATATTAATTATTGTTGAATTAATAAAGCGACCAATTTTCAAGAATGCTTTCCGGCTAAAATTGTACTGAAACTAAATTTACTGCCGACTAAGCGGAATTTAGCAGCAAGCACCGTTTTAAGGCTCCGGGGGGGGGAAGTATGATTACTGCAGGGAAGGGATGGCTAGAAGCAGCCCGAAGGATTTTTCTCATCCCAGATAACTTTGGGGGTCACTTTAACGGTAACGCTGGGCGTCGAGACGGCGGTTATGTGGCAGCAGGGTATGCCAGTTTCCCCCTCTCTGCAGCCAAAGAAAACCTAGAATTTATACTCCTGAATAGCGTATCGGCCTTTGTGGCTCATGGGCACATGAGTTGCGATGTCTCGAAACGTCCAGTAGCAAGAGGGTACTGCAGCTCCGCAGCCATCAACAAAACGAACTCGAGTGTATCGAACAATATCGTCATAACAAATGATACCAAAGAATCAAGCAAGGGTAGAGACCACCACAAGGCGACATATTTCAATCATAGCGCAGTTGGACATATTTCAAAGCGAATCTATACCAAGGCACCACCGTACATTCAAATTGAAATTCATTGCAGAGAAAGGAACATAACTAAGTGTATATCAATTAGTAACACAGGATCTTCTTACCTCTTCTAATTCGCTGCTTGGTACAACAATATCCTTCAACATCGCTAAACTGGAGTTGATGCGAGCTCTCCGTCTTTTCTCTATCAGTGGCTTTCTAACCTGCAATTTAAAAGAAATGCATTATTCATACATTACTTCTCAACTAGGTACAGAAATAAAGTATGTTGAATTGCTATTTAATCATAACGATCTAATTTGTGTAACATATTATATCGGAACCATGTTATTTATTAAAATTACTAAAATATATCTTTATTGTTTTCACATATTATTTAAAGAGAAGCTAGTATAAGAACTGGGTATTAAAATCGATTTTTTCCCCTAAACAGCTTTTTGTAGATTCTAAGGCAGTAAATGATAATAGTTTACAATACAGCTTTTCGGTATTCGTAACCTACGGAAAGTTTTTCTTCAATTTTTTGACTTATCTACACCAATTCTGCAACTAGTTTAGTATGCAACTTTTTTTAATTTTCGCCAATAACATCCCTCCCAAGAAAAACGTATTCTAATTTTTTGCTGGAAAAATGTCCGGAACTTACTATTTCAAACTCGCGATTTTCAATGATCGGTTGTAATAATAATTAAAAATGTTATAAAAGTGCCAGTTCAGATAGTTATAAAATGCATTTCTTCCTCTGGGAGTTTAACTGAAATGCTAATTCTTATTCGTAAAAATAAAATTCGCTATTATTTAATTTAATTTTTAAAAGCATGTGCATATAATCTTTTTATGTTATTCTGCATGATCTTTGAATAAGAGAAAGAATTAGCATTTTATTCTTTTCAAATAACAATAATATAATTAGCTTCCAATCGACTGAAGGAAAAATAATCAGGCAAAGTCTAAAAAGTAAAGGTTATGTAAACTTTTTTTTTTTTTTTTGCAAAACAATGAAAAATTACTATCACAAAACATTAGCGTAAAACAAAACTGTGCATGGAAATTACAAAAAAGAAAAGAAAAGTGTGTGGAATAGAGGTAAAGATAGCAGCTAGTATCTGCTACTTGAATTCCATCAAAAAAACAAAACGTTCTAACCGTTTCTCTAACGTTCTTCATTTTTATGCGAGTTTGAATTCATTGATTAAGTTCTTTCGAAAATATTGATCTTAAATGGCATTCATAACTTAGTTTCTTTACTATTACTAATAAACGATTCTTTACTATTATTAATACACGATTAAATTATTGATTAATAAACGATTTCCAATGATATTAATTCTTCCGTTGTTACAGACCTTTGATCAACAATGATGAATGTACAGATAAAATATTATGAGTTATTTGTCTGTTAATTAAAATATAACTCTGTATTTTTAACTCCACTCTGATAAACCATGATTTTTGAGTTAATTGCTACTAATTATTAATACTGGATACCATTATTAATTATGAATTATTCCATTATGAGTTAATTATTCATTACTGTAATTACTTATTCACGCTTTTACAATGAGACCATTACCATTATTAATTATTAATATTTGTAATAATACTGATGATTCTCTGTAGTTGACTTGATTAACAACACGAACAATATGACAGTTAAACATATCAGTTTAAGGAATTTTTCTTATCACCAGTTTCCCATATACTATATTCAATAACACAAAACAAGATTTCTCGCCCCTTCTCGACTTCTCACTCTTCGCTCTTCCTTAATCCATTCTGCTATTACAATCCGACTAACATTAGGCAATGGAAAGAAATTCTTTGTAATTTAGTAACTATTCCCCACGAGTTATAATAAGGTAGTTAAAAACAATGAAAAACGTAAATACTTTGACATCATTAACCATTATTCTCTTTGAAACCGTTGAATTTGTGAAACAAAAATTCTTTAAAGTTTCACTAAATTTTCACAAAATTTGAAATAGATAATTCAAAACAAATTCGAAAATTGAAATGATAATTGAATGATAATTGAAATGATAATTGAAATGATAATTCATAACAAATTCGAAAGTCAAAATTCGGACTGCCAAGTTCCCATGTTCAGTTGGAGGATTGATTACGTTATTCGAAATTGCATGGCTCTAGGTACCATTGTGTTTCTCCAATGCGAGAAACATTAATGCATTCATGCAGATTCTTTATTATTATCTGTTTTCTTTAAATATGATACACGGCGATAATACTTGGAGGCAAGAGTTTGAAAAGTGAGTCACGCAGAAAGTGAAACGACCCAAAATGCCGTTTGGAGACTAATAGCCCTTTGGGTCTAACGCCTTTCGGGCTAATAAAAAGTAACAAAATAATGATAACTCAATAATCTAAATTGAGAAAGAAATTTCAAAAAGCAGATATTTATCTCTTTAGTCCGAAAATGTTCAGAAAATATTCGTAACCAAAGTAAAGACAGGTGCCTAAAGTATCTTCCTCTGCTGGACATGATGGATGCAGTCATGAACATAATTAACATCCTTATCGCCGGTACCACAGCTATGCAAAACACTCGAAGCAAGTCCAAATTGCTCTAAATAGCGCTTAAAATTGCCATGTCCAGTCAAAAATTGAGTTGCTTTAAAAATCCGTTGAAAACTGATCCCTGTGAAAAATTGCAGGAAAAAAACACCCTTTGGTCTGTTGTGCTTTTAGTGAAGACAGATATTCTCTGATCCAAATACAGATAGCATCATTTCTATAAAAGCTCTTCCAATGAGAAACAGGAACACTGAAATTTAAATCAATGTGACGTTTCGTGGCTAGTTTTACTACAGCATCAGCTCTCTAATTTCATAGTTTTAGATCTCAGTTTGTTTACAAGTAAGGGGATATAGTATTTCTTGAATCGGAAGAATAAAAATGCATTTCTTTTCTAATAAAACTGTAGGTGAATAAAAATATATTTGAACTTGTTGACCGCTTTTGTAATATAACGCTCCTTGCTACAAATTCTCTAATGTTATTAAAAAAAATAGTTTTGAAAGAGTCAAAAAATGGCAGGTTTTGAAGGACATTGAAAAATGCTTCAAAGAATAAAAATTCGTCTTTTTTAATATTTTTTTTGGGGGGGGGCGAGAGAAAATTGTTGTAGAATAACAAATGCTTTGTAATTTAATAATATTACTTGAGGCTGTACTAAGTCTTTTTCTTTCCTCAACAGCATCTAAGACAGTTAACAATAGATAAGAATAAAACTAGAAATCAGTTACATTCTCTTCTGATGAATGAACTACATTTGATAAAAGAAAAATTAAAATAATCTTCAATTGCATGTTTTATTTCTTTATTAATTCATTTCTGAATCTATGTACATATAAATAGCATTTTAAGCAACTCAAAAATAAATGTTTTATTATTTTCATTAAAATTAGATTTAAATGAGTCATTAAATTAATACACATGAGTCATTAAATTATACAGTACCCACCGATTATTAAAATCACTTTCGCTTCGACCATACCTGAGTTTCTTAAGCGGCTGAATTTAAAACAGGGTGATTTCAGTCTTGCAAATTATGATGTCAATTTTAAGCATATCTAACAACGGTAAGACAGTAACTAACAATCAATAACTAAAATAATAATTGAAAAAAGTAAAATATGAAAGCTTTCAGATTTTATATTACGTTCAAATGGGCGTTTTTATTTTTTTCATTTACAGGCACATATTAAGTGCTCTCCAAACGTACACTTCTGCGCACGTTTAGAGAGCATTTGGTCTACCGTCACACTATGCTAAAAACATTTAAAAACAGCGTATCTTTAGAATTACCGACAGACAGTCTTGCGACGCGATGGAAATAAAAATATTTTATTCCCTACAGTGTTGCCATCGCTCGCTTTGAAATTATTGAGTTTTTTAATCAAAAATTCGTTACAAAGTTTTGCAAAATATGAAATAGACAATAAAGCAAATTCCAAATTGAGGCTCCCAGGTGTCCATGTCCGAGTGAAGGACTAGGTTATTCACAATTGGATGGCTCTAGGTACCGTTGTTTTATCACAGTGCGGGAAACGCACATACATTCATGCAAATTCTTTATTATTTAATTTCTTTAAATATTGCACAGAGCAATAATATTAAGTGGCAAGAATTTGAAAAGTGATTCGGGCACTTTAAATGATTCGATGCAAAATGCCGTTTCGAGACTAATAGCTCTTCTGGGCTAGAAATTAAATTATTAACGCAATTTTGAAAACTATTTACGCAATTATTTATTAAAATATTTACGCGATTTTGAAAACTGTTTACGCAATTTTGAAAGATTAAAAAAGATTTTTATAAAAATTCAGGAACCAAAGTTTAGTTCCTAGAAATTTAAACGAAATAAACGGCCGATTTTATTAACCAGTGCGTTTAATTAGCGTCGAAAAATATATTAATTAAAAAATGTATTCGCTAAATAATAAACACACATTGATAAATTAATACACATGTTAAGTGTTAATAAACTCGCAAATGTGACTTCCATTATGATAGTTGACAAATGAAGTTTATTATTGCTGACTACAATGAAATGATTTTTGACACTTTCTTTTGATATTTATTAAATTAGCGATTTGTACCGAGTTAATTTACAATTGGAGATGATAATAATGCAAAATACTCTAAACAAAAATGACACAAAGCGAATAAAAATATAGTTTCCCTCTTTTAGAATTAGTTAATTTTCTGGCGTAACTTAGCACCAAATGTTGTTACTGATACTCTCCGAGTAGTTTAAAAAAACATAGATGATTAAAATTGCAAAAGAATTGTTTTCAATGCATAAAGCAAAAAAAAAGCTTCTAAATTAAATTTTTACTCCAAATTATTCTACTTACCCTTCTCGTCAACGAATAATTCGTGTCCATATTTGCTTAACGGAAACCAATGGATTGCTGAAAATTCAGGTGCGTCAAAATACTCAGACCACCAAAAAATGCACAGAAGCACACGTGACCGTGTTCCTTACACGTTTGATGCCGCGGCGCGTGCACATCCCATTTGTTCGGGGTCCTGCTACTGAAAAGAACGCCCCTTCTTCCCCCACGCTGGACTCCCCCTCTGAAAGGAATACCTGTTTTCGTGCTGGGAGGTTTCATACTGCCCTCCGGCCTTCGATTATTGATACCGTAACAGGCAAATTAAGATACTGTCTTCTACCAGC